TCCCTCCTTTCCTGCTCTCCCCTTGCTCCCTGCTCTCAGCTCCTCTGAATTCCAAGAGACTATTTCTCTAAACCCCCGCCCCCTCTCACCTGCAAATGCAGTTCCTACCGCCCAGTTTCACATCATGGTTGCCCCCTTTCCTCCAACCTTTCTCCCCTGGTCTGGGGTCCTGTACACCTCCTCCCCCAGGACCCCCAGGGCCCTGTTTCCAGTTGAATGCTTTCTGTCACCGAGAAGGGGCATGAGCAGAGCTGGGCACTGAGTGATGGGGGCTGAGAAGGGGCTCTGTGCAGCTTGCCTGTCCCAGGCTGTGGGGGCTTGGCAGCTGCCAGGGCACTTGGATGGAGGGCTTGGGGTGCAGGGGTCTGATAACCAAAGGCAGTGAGGGGTCCAGTGGCAGGGGTCTCCTCAGTGGCTATATGCTGATATTTCAGAGGGATGGGCCCCCAGCTCAGGCCATTCCTGGTACCCCACCTGGGATGGCTCCCAGGACTTGTGCCCCCACCTCTCCCCTCCACCCAGCCGCTTGCCTCTGTGTGCCTGGGTGCTGGCTACCGAGCCCTTCCCTCCTGGGCAGGGCATTGGGGTTGGACGTGACCTCACCCAACAGCCCTGGCCTAGGTGGGGCCGCCCGCCCAGCCAGGCCTGGACACTGTGTCAGCAGCGCTGTCTCCTGAGGTAGCTTTGAAACCAACTGTGGGTCTTGGGTCCAGATGGTTCCCAGTAAGAGCAGTTTGCCGGCCATGACAATCAATACTGGGATCCAGGGAGATGGGAGCCCACTGCTGGTCTCAACTTTTGCACTGGGTCGGACCAAAGGGACACTGGTGGTAGTGCAGGGGAAGGTGTGAGGAAGACAGGTCTTGGAGAGAATTATACTGTCGGTCACCAACTATCTATCAAGTGCCTACTCCACGCGGGATGGAGTGGTCAACTAGACAGACAAGCCCCAGCCGTCAAGGAGCTGGGGTTCTGGGTGTGTGTGGAGGAGGCAGAGGAACTGAGTAACAAATGGGCAGATGAAGGAACAAGAGAATTTCATAGTGATTTGTGTGATGAAGACAGTAGAAGTAGATGCTGCGGTGGCAGCGGGTTGGCAGGGGCACCTTTGGCCAGGGTGATCAGAGACCTCTCTCTGAGACCTGAATGAGGCCGTGGAATGAGCCTTGTGACCATAAGAGAGAAGAGGGTTGCAAGTGGAGGAACAGCAAGTGTGGTGGCCCTGTGTGGGCAGGAGTTTGGCGTGTGGAGGAAGGGAAAGAAGGCCAGTGTGGCTGGACCCCTGAGTTGGGGAGATGAGGTTGAAGGGTGGGTGGGGCCAGGAGAGAACAGAGGTGCTGGCTTTAGGGTTGAGGGACTGTGGCTGTTGAGATGTTCTGCTCCTCCCACCCTTCTTCTCTGCCCAGTATGGTATTTGATCTGTCTTTGCCACCCACCTTGGATGAGACCTGCAGTGTTTTGGGTGGTGGCTCTTTTGGGGATTGGGAGGGCAGACTCCCTACTGGTCCCTGATCACAGTCACCCTCGGGGAGAGAGGGCGGGACCAGCAGGAGATGGGAAATGCCCCTCGTGTTGGTGAGAATCCTGCTGATAGGATCTCCGCCTGTGGGGTGGGGACAGCGCCTGTGGGGTGGGGACAGCGAGATGGTGGCCAGGTAGGGCTTTCCCTGAAGCCCTGATAAGATCTGATCTGTCATGGGGTGGGGAGCCCAGCGAGGCAGGCGGCCACTCCCGCTCAGTCATTGGCTGCCAACCACAGCGAGTAGGCCTTTGTTATGGAGCCAAAGCCTCCAGGCAGAATCCAGGTGTAGGGAGGGCTGGCGTGCTCAGACTGCTGCCCCAGGGTGCAGGTGGGCAGGAGGACCCATCACCCCTCTGCTGGGTACCAGGAAGCTCTCTAACCCCTCCCTCTGGGCACACCTGCCCTTTCTGGGGAGGGGGACATTTCTGAGCCTGGCTCGCTCTGTGGGGAAGCCAGTGGTCTCTGGTTGAGCAGCTGTGTTGATACCAGGCTGGAAGGAGGAGTAGGGGGCCCCTGGTTCCCCCTCTGCAGTGGGAGGGGCTGCTGGACACCCTGCTTAGCTCCTCTGGCTGGTCAGAGCTGAGCTCATGGTCCTGATGCCCAGTGCTGGGGAAAGGTCAGGAAACCTCAGGGCGTCTCGAATTAGTGGGGCATCCTCCCTGCAGCGACCTGAGAGGCCAGAGATGGCAGTGGCTCAGGAGCAAGGGGGATTAGGGGAATGAGGGGGATGGTGGTCCCAGGGGCGAGTGGGGCAGGGGCTGTGTCAGCCCAATTCCTGGCGGCTGAGCCTCCTCTGCCCTCCGCTGTTAGGCCTGCACAGCCTCAACCTGGGGTCCACCTCTCTTGCTATTACAGCGTAGCCCCTGTTGGGGGGTAGCTTGATCTTCAGTTCCCCTCACACCTTGATCCCATTGCCCCTCAAATTTGTGGGGCCGCCTGTGGGTCCTCCCCTCTCCCTGCCTGCCCAGTCCCCCTTGGCCATACCATTTTGTACCATGACTTGTCTCTGGCCAAGCTCACCAGGGACTGAGTGGAGTGTGGCCAGGAGTCCCTGTGCCTCTGGACCAGAGTATGCTGCCAGGCCCTTTGCCTACCAGGCTGTCTCGCTGGTTTATTTCTGTGGGGCTAATTCTAGGGGTGGGGTACCGGGGGGGGGTAGGGCCTATGGACAGGTGTGGCGGGGATACTCCTGAGAGCTTGGTGGCCATAGTCACTCACAGTGTCACTGGAAGATGGCTGATGGAGTGGGAAGGAGCAGGCCCGCATCAGGCAGGTGGAAGGCTGGCTCCTGGGGGCTTCAGAGCCTCTGCAAAGAGGGGACAGATGCATGACCGGGCAGCAGCTCTTAAAAAAAACAAAAACAAATAAAACTGTCCTTGGAGTTTTCCAGGCAGAACTCTGGGTCCAAAATGGCCAGGCAGGTACATGCTCCTGTGCCCAGAATTTGGGGTAAGGTGCCTCATGGACTCATTTCCTCATTTAGAGTAGGTGGATTTACCCCCATTTATTACTTTTTTTTTACCAGTGGGGAAACTGAGGCACAGAGTAGTTAGGTGGGTTGTCTTGGATTCGTACTCTATAAGCTCAACCCTTGCTGGCTGTCCAAGTGGCCTCCTGGCTTTGCCATGTCCTGGGCTACCTTGCTTGTGGGTGTATTCTAAAAGGGCCTTCCATGCTGTAGGCCCAGCCTGCTGTCCCCTCAGAAGGGAAGTTCATGGCAAGGCAGCCCAGAGGCAGGTGGTGGAGACAGAGCTGGGGAAACGGACCCATCTCTGACTGCCAGGGCCCAGGTGCCTTGGGGCTCTTGGGAGTCAGAGCCAAAGAGGGGACCTGAGACCTGACCTTACGTAGGAGGAAAGCAGGCCACTTGGGTGGGAGGGGGTCTTAGACTCCCGGGGGCTGGGATAGAGGGGGTGAATGGCAGGAAGGGAGCTGAGGGGTGCTGAGAGGAAGGCCTTCAGGGTGGAAGTGGGATGGGGGAGTGCTACCCTCTCTGCTCCTTCCCTTGTCTGCGTGTACCCGCTAGGGTAACCCCATCTGTTCCTTGTTAGGGGACTCAACAGACAAGCCTCTAGGAGATTAATTAATGCCAAGCTGCTGGCAGATCCAGCAGCACGCCTGCCCCAGGGCCCCATCCTGGTAGCCCAGATGCCCAGCTGACCCCCAAATGTTGTTCCCTTCCCATCCAGCGATCTTGGAGACATGGGAGGCCATGTCACTGGCCCAGTCCTGTCCCTGAGGCTGGATGGCAGAGAGGGCTTAAGTGGTGGCAGAGATGGCTGCAGGACATTCTGCCCCCAGGCCTACCTCCTTCGCCCACCCTGGCACTTCTCATCCATTCCTGGCTGTGCCCTGGATGTGCTATGTGACCTTAGTCATGTTGCTTCCCCTCTCTGAGTAACTTTCTTTTTCCCGTCAGTAAAATGGGGATGTTGGACTGGATCATCACTGAGGTCCCCCGAGTCTTTGTTATCCATTCTATCTGCCTATTTCTGCAGTGGCCCCTGATGGTACCACCCCCTCCATTCTCACTCCATATTGACTTCCCCTTGGTCCCCCACACTGTCTCCTGCATTCTTCCAGGCTGTGTCTTCTGCTCAGGTCCCAGGTGATTGCTAGTTCTCCCTGTAATTAACTCCACCTGTGCCCAGGACATGGCGGCCTGCCTGGCCAGCCCCTGTTGGGGCCCAGGCCCTGCCCTCACAGGCCAGCGCAGTCTTCCCAGAGTCAGGGCAGGACATCTGCTTCCACAGTGGCCACCTCCCACCGGCCCAGCACATTCCTCAGGCTTATCTGGGGGCCCGCCCCGCTGGACTCTGCCCTCCCACCCAGGAAGCAGTACCCAGAGGAGCTGCCAAAGAGTTCCAGGGACTGGGGGGGTGGGGAGGGGGTTGGCTGGGCCAGAGTGGGCTTGAGGTGGATGATTCTCAGCCTCAGGTCTGGGGCTGGAGAGAACTAGATATAGGGCAGGGTGGGGCAGAGGGATTTGGGAGTCTGCTGAAGCTGACAAGGCAAATTGTCTTTAACTTTGGGGAGCTTGGGTTCACTCAGACACCAGAGTCTGCGCCATCTCCTGGGACACCCCGCCCCCATCTTTGGGACTCTCCCCTGGGGGCTTGTGTGCATAGGAGGGGGCCTTCCTCTGGGCAAATTAACCTAAGTCTGCTCCAGAGTTGTAACAGGCCATAGAGCTGCCAGGGCCCAAGAGCTGAGGGACAGCAGCTCTGTGCCACAGCCCAGACCTATTGGCCACCTCCCTTCCTCAGCCCCCACCTCCACCGCCAGAGCCGAGCCGGTCCTCCCAGGAAGGGGTTAACTGCCAGCCGTGAGGGAGGGGACTGGGCTGGACCATTTTCCTTTGCCGCTGCCTCCACCTCGGTTTTCCTGGTTGGTTCTGTCGTCCTGGGGTGGGGAGGAAAGGGAAGGAAGAATGGCGGGCGGGCGGAGGGAGGGAAGGAGGGAGGAGTGTGGGAAGAGGAAGGGAAAAAGAGAGCGAGACAGTGAGGGGAAGAGAAAGATGTCACTGTCTCTAATCTCCCTGTCATCTTTATTTCCAGCAGGCGCTGGGCGAAGGAACTGCTAGAACAATGCTGAGGCGGGCGAGGTGAGGAGCAGCCCGGTCAGCGCAGCGGCCCCGACGGAGCGTCTCAAACAGGTGATCGGAGGAGCCAGAAACCAAGGCCATCTGGGCATCCCTCCCCTTGCCTCGGCCAGACCGGCGCCCCAGAAACGGCGGGGAACCATGGCGACCAATTTCAACGACATCGTCAAGCAAGGCTACGTGAAGATGAAGAGCAGGAAGCTCGGGGTGAGCGACCCGCGGAGGGGCCCCGCCGAGGGACTGGTGCTGAGGACTCGGTCTGGAGGATCGGGGTGGCGGGGTGCACGGCGCCTGCCTGCTGCCGGGCATCGTGCATTGTAGTCTCGAGGCTTCTCGCCAGTGGGCCGCCTGGCATGTGCCTGGGCCCAGCTCTGCCTGCTGCAGCCCCTGCTCCAGCCCAGCTGGCTGGCATCCCAGCAGCTGGGCCAGCCAGCCAGCCAGCGGTGGCGGCAGCTGGTGGGCAGGAGACTCTCCTGCTATTGTTGAAGTTGTCACCACAGCAGCAGCGGCTGGAAATGCCCTGCTGTGTCTGAGCCGAGAACCAGCTTCTCACTTCCCTTTGCCTTCCCTCTTGACCCTCTCGTCCCCCTACTTCCGATGGCTTCTGTGTACAGATACATTTATTTAGTTATTTTTGGTTGTTGGTTTTAATGTTACAGCTGTGTGTGAAGAGGAGCATGGTTGATTGTGGGGGGCAGTGCCATGGGGGTGTTGATGCTGACATTTGTCTGGTTTATGAATGAGAACTTGGCGTCGGATGCCTGGTGCTCTGACATTTGTCTGCTTTGTGAATGAGAACTTCAGGTGGGGTGGCTGGTCCTCTGAAATTTGTCTGGTTTATGAATGAGAACTTGGGGTGGGATGCCCAGTGCTCTGACATTTTCTGGTTTATGAATGAGAACTTGGGGTGGGATGCCTGGTGCTCTGGGACAGGCTGCTTTCCTCCAGGTTGTCAGCTGGCAGCTCCCTGCATGCCTAGTGCTTGGCCCCAAGCTGAGGCTTGGAGGGGCTTCGCAGATGAGGCCTCAGACACATCCCTGCTGGGCGTGTACCCTCTCCCAACCCTCTAGGCCCCCTGCTGGTGAAGACCCCCCAGAAGGCATGAGCAGGGGCCCCAGGGACAAACTTACTGATCTTGGTGAGGTTGTCCCAGAGTTCCTTCTATTCCCCACAGACCCCCCACCTCCACAGCCAATGAGGGCTCTGGTGGCTGCCCCTTCCCCAATAGGGAGGAAAGCGCCCGTGACTGAGGTGGCCCCGCCCATGACTGAGGTGGCCCCGGTGTGGCCCCCTCTCCTCTAGAAGTTTTACCTGCCCCTCCCCCTCCCACTCCCCATTGCCTTGGTAGGGAGATGGGGGCGGGGTGGGGGAGGATGAGGAGGAGGAGAGGAGCTGGGCTCTGAGACACTTCCCTGCCTAGATACCTGACGGCAGGGCTGGCTCCTCCTCTCTCTCCTGTGGCCCCATGGTCCCCCTAGGGGTGTGCCCTGTCCTGGCAGCTTCACTGCCAGGTGGGCACAATTGGGGTTTTGCCTGGATTTGAATTTATAGCCCAGCTAGGCGGGGACTGGGCCCTGGTGGCCCTCGGCCCAGTTTGCTGGTTCCCTGAGAGGGATGCTGCCTACTGACTTGGAGCACAGAACAAAGGGAGGTTGGGGCCAAGGTGGGGAGGCTGAGGGAGCAGGGCCCAGCTTCTAGTGTCACTTCTCATTCCTACAATCCCCAGATGAGCAGGTCCTCAGGGGTCAGCTGGGCTGAGGCCTTGTGGAGGGCAGAGCTTGCTAGAAAGGCAGAGGCTACAGGGACAGCCACTAAGGGCTCTGTGTCAGACCTGTTCAGGAGACCTGGGAACGCGGGG